GGGGGGGGGGGGGGGTCCCCTGATCTAGATATTTACCCAGATGAAAATTAAAAGACTTAAAAAATTATCTGTCACTTTTGCACTTTATCCCAGAAAGTAAATGTGTTTTAAATAAGCTTTGCAACCTGGAAATAAATGCGAATGAAGGATCATTCATTTTTATACGATATTGCGCAGAACAAAAATATCCTCAATATTGACATATAAGGATGTTTTTACTGTACAATATCAACCAATATCGGTAAAAAATTTTCGTAAATACGCTCTAAAACAATTGTAAAAAATAAAACAACAAACTATGGCTTTTTACGGCTTTTACGCAGGACAATTACTATACTTTGCTGCAATTTTAGATAAATATATAGCTTTTAAGCCAGTATAAGTGGATGAACTTATGCACAAAACATTTATTACAGTTTTATTAATACATACAAAAAATTTGTATGCTACTTTCTCATCAAATTTGCAAATAAGTATTACAAAACGATTTTATAGAAGAATTAAGGCAAACAACAAAATTAAATAACTTTTAAAACAATAAGAGAATTGTGCTTAAATTTTACACAGTTACTTAAGGCGATGCTAAAACCCTCCTGTTTTACCACATTCCTATTCGGTGGGATTTCTCCGTATTGGATGTACGGATTGCAAAAGTATTATTAATTAAATTATAGTACAAACACAGAGGATGTTTGCTACACTGGATTTTATGAGAAAATCGAAAAAAAATTATAAAATTTACTTATTTTTGGCTCGCACAGCTGTCACCTCGGATATATATTTGCTTGATATAAGAGTTTTAGAGTCCATATCTTGAAAATAAGCGGGCAGCAAACATCACATTATTGAAACGAACGATACCGAATTTGTAGAACTAAGATTGAAAGTCTAGAAAAGATATATTCCCACCGAATAGGAAATACGTGTATACAGATGCTTTGCGGAGACTGGGACTGTCAACAGAGCCGAAATTCCGTGTAGTAGTAGTTGCGCGGTCTTGCGATAGATGGTGCTGGCATATGTTAGATAAGAACAGATGTATGCGTTTGAGTAAGACAGAATGATATATATTATATAATATAATGTAAAAACTAAATCAAAGATGTCGCCACTATTATCGAAATTGGAATTAAAAAAGTCTGTACTATCGACCTTGATTGAGTTGGGTAATCGGTTTAGCATCCCCTTAAACGTATTAACAATCTATGAAATTTTTATATTTTTCGTAATGCTTTGAGATGTAATATATACATTTTTAATCGCATGTTTTCTGAATCATTTTTCGAAACTGTCAGACATATTATTAAATATACGACTGGATTTTAGGAGGCATAGCAGCTGCTACGTCAGGCGCGATATTTTATGCGAACTGCGTTATCGGCCTGATCATATTTTTCTGGCTGTCGTCGCGATGGGTAACTCTCCAACGTGATTGGAGATCCATGGAACTATTCATAGACAGGTAGATATCAACGTGTTTAAAAAAGGCTACAGGATAGTATCGCTAACTGATCGATGATCGCAGTCCACGTGTTTCACTGCATACGGGGTTACATAGAATCACATGTACTCTTGACAACTCTCGAAAGATTGCGATCGCACACGTGCTTTCACACGATGACAGCAGGTGTTACAAGAATAATGGCAAGCGTCATATTCAAATCCGTTATAGATGCTGTAATGATAAACTTAATTTGCGAATCGGAAAATAATTCCAATATTATTATAATTGCCTGTGCTCTCTCTCTCTCTCTCTCTCTCTCTCTCTCTCTCTCTAAAAATATATAAAAAATTAAAAATATAATACATATTCTCTAAAATTTTTAGAGTGAATTCAGTCATTTTGAAGAGTGAAATCTCACTTTTAAAGATTGAAAATTGAACCATTCTTTTTCAAGACTGGCTTAATTGTCAAATTATGAGATTTTACTCTAAAGAATTTAGAGAGTATATGTATTTAACTATATAGTTTGATGTGACCAACTTCAAACTCATCTAATATTGCCAGATACGCAAATATGATAAAGTAAGATCGCGTGTTTGTAGTATCCATTATTAAAAGATATCATTGCTTGTAATCTGCCTCAAACGGCATAAATGTTTAAAGACTTCGCCGGTGTTATCATCTTTTTAAATCAATTATTTCTTTTTGGAAATTTCAATGAGCAATGTTTCTCTTTAAAGTCAATTAATTTTGCATTGCCTTACAAGGCAACTTCTGTTAACATATACGTTTATCAGAACCTTTCGCTTTTGCAGTAACAAGATGGAACGACCAAAGCTCCGTTGGAAACTCTACTTGATAGCTGCTTCCATTCTGTTTGTGGCTCTTATTGAACATATCTTGAGTATATTAGTGCATATCAAAAAATATGACTGGAGCGGCAAATCGGACAATGCGACGTTTCTCAATTTTTTGGAAATTTATTGTACGTCTTCTCACGCGTTTATATTGGAAATACGTAAGTAGCAATCTCTTAACTATAATATTAATTTAAAAGTATCGCTCGCAGATAAATTGAATGCTTGAATAAAATTTCATAATAATCTAATTGAATAAATTAATTGATCGCATAAAAAGTATTAAATTGTTTTATTATAATAAAGTAACTATAATTGTTTTATTACAATATATAAAATAGCTATAATTTTTTAGCAATAATTATAACTCTTTTATACACATAGATTTGCAATTTTTCCGTTTCTTTAATTATTTTCTTTAGCATTATTAACAGGAATCCAATTTATTTGGCTATACCTGTAAAGTAATTAAACTTACAACTTTTTCTCCAAAGATTTGTTTATTTGAGATCGCTGTGTTTCTTTTCTCCTAGATTTATTGAAAAACTTTGGTTATTTCAAAACTTTAGAACTTTGATTTTCAGTGAAATATAACTTGGCACTTGGTATTTTCATTTTTATCGTCAGCAAATTGGCGACTTTTACGTGGAATTTTACTGATGTTTTCATCGCAATGGTAATAAAAACTTTGTAAATAGTTCAAGAACACCTCTTTCTCTGTTCAGAATCAAACGTTTCCAATCTTATTATAACTAATTCGATCTTGTGGTCGGAGTTTTCAGGTAGCTACCGGTTTGGCTGAAAGATACAAAACATTAAATAAATACGTGATTAGTTCTATATCGAAACATCGACCTATAGACTGGTCTGGATTGCGCGAAGATTATGCTACTCTTAGTTTCATGGTGAAAAAAGTGGACAACGATATCTCGCCTATAATTCTCTTGTCGTTTGTAAACAATCTTTACTTCATCTGTTTACAGCTACTCAACGGATTGTCGTAAGTAGTACGTGATTATTAAAAAAAAAACAATTACACAAAGTTATTATATTAATTTTTAATTTATTTTAGTTATTAATAATTTATAGAAATATGAATAAGTTCCGTAAAATTAATACACATGTTAATACACACATGTTAATATGATATATCGGTAAATATCAATTCATAAAGTTATTATTATTTCTGATTTCGATTCTCTTTATTGGATTTTTACAGAAAATCAGACGACGGTTTAATTGGCGATATATACTTCTTCGAGTCCTTCCTATTTCTGATCAGTAGAACGATGATCGTCACCCTGCTCACTGCTAGGATTCACGATCAAAGTAAAGTAATATTGCCGATTTTATTTACTTGTTCAGCATCTACTTATGACAAAGAGGTAAACCATTCGAATTTCATTGGCATAAAAAAAAGTAAATAAAACAGTAATGTTTTAAAATTATCAGTGTATTGCTTAAATTATTTAATCAATTTACTCAATTTTATATATATATATATATCTAATAATTTATACGGTCGCTTTATAGACAGAAAGGCTGCTTCATTTACTCAGCACTGATAACATCACGCTCACTGGAATGCGTTTTTTTTCTATTACACGGAACTTTCTGTTGGCGGTAAAAACAAATCAAGATTTAATAACAAATTCTTTAGCATTTCATATATTATATACAATACGACAGTTTTCTTTAAGAAACAAAATCATTTTACGATAGTGATATCTATATTATTTCAAATATACAGAGTATAATATAAAGTGTAAAATATCTTATATATATTATACTCGATTTAGCTATTCACTATTGCATTAATTAATACATTAAAAAGGAGGAAAATTTAATAGTTTAATGTTTTTAATATTATTGCGGTTTTATTATTTTCCAATATCTTTATTTATAAACATTATTTATTTTTATAAATTTATGTACACAGGTGGCTGGTGCAATTGTAACATACGAAGTTGTGCTACTACAATTTAATGTTGCAATAAACAAATAAGTATGCAATAGTGTAACATCAACAAAAGACAAATTTATAATCTGGATTATATAAGATATAATATAAGTAAAATTAATTAAAATTAAAACCCCATCCCGTACATTTTTACCTCGAAGCAAATTTTTACTAAATGCTATTTTCACAATTATACTATTTTACAAAAATGTATATTTTGTAAGACAATTATGCAAGAAATATTTATTATAACAGAAATTCGTCTCAAGAATTGTCGCTTTGGTTATGTAATTATTTCGATATATCTCCTAATACATATTCACAACACAACATCGAAACATTTTCTATAATTTACATAAATTTTCATTATTATATAAATGTATTGTACAATTATTTTTACATTTACACTCAAGTAAGTTAAGGGTTCAATGTATTTAATTTTAATAAAATTTTTCAAAATCTAATCCTACACTATTCCTACATAAATATAATTTTTTTGTATAAACTTTACTTTGTACAAGATTCTTAAATACTACATTTAAATAACATTTTTTTGTTCATTCACAGCAACGTTTACAAAATTATAGCCGCATCATCAACAGATAAAAATATATTTGTATGTGCTTTTAATCTATTTCTGCGGATGACAATGTGTTCTCCGCAGCTAAATCTATAAGTGCGGTATACATATTTTGTAAAAATATTAAATTCAACACTGGTGAAATATCCTTTCCGCTTTTTTCCAGAATATATCAAGTTAATGAATCCAAAGGAAAACTAGAACAAAAGGTAAACCAAGAAATAAAATCATATAAAGAGAGATTACGGATAAAGTAAAAGTAGTTATATCATATTAAAAAAAAAATGTATTTGTCATAGCGCAATTCATATACTTACCTTATAAAATTGCAGAAAAATTACCATAAGTAATGTGAAAATATAGAGGACTCCAGCGGTTTTATTTTACTACCTATATAAAATATACAAAATATAATATAAAAGCTAATAATATGAAAGAGAAAGATCTTATTGTATAAAAAGTCAATTTATGGAAATTGGTTACAAAAGAAGGGAACAATAAAAAAAATACCATAAAATACAATAATGTATATAATGCAGTTTCAAATTTATTTAATGATAGCATTTATTATAATAAAATTTTGCGTTTTGTAGTCAATATAGTGATATCGATTTCCTTTTCGAAAACCCTCTCTACCTCACCTCACAAGCAGTTATATTCGTATGGTCCGTTTGCTGGACGGTGTTATTAAACTGTACCAGAACAAGTTCATAAGTCACAATAGTTCCTGCAACCTACATTATCATTCATATAGTTGTACAAGGTATATATTAATCATAACTATTATTTAAAATTAATCTAAATCTCGTCTTAATTATAAAGGATAGTGTTCGTTGCTCAGTTAAATATCATTATAGAAAATAAATATACATATTTCCAAAATATTTTGTTTTTTTTCAAAAGAAGATCTAATAGGGACAAAATATGAATAATATACAAATAATTGACCGTATTTTACAGCGCGATAAGTTTGCTTTTAGTCAAATAATTAAGCTACATTTAACTCGTTTAAATTGTCATTACTTACGGTTAACACAAGGCCTCTCGTTATGGAAAAAAACTTCATTCCCGTCAAGCTAATATTATCCGTCGTTACTTGTGTCAAGAATCTTGAGACCTGCGCAACGTTAAACGTTACTTGCAAACTTACATACAAATTTTTGTACAAATTTATATATAAGTAACAGCACGATCGAGAAAATTAATATAATAATTTTATAAATAAATAACATTCATTATTTTTTTTCTTACAACTGATATCGTATAATCTTTTAGATCTCCCCCCAGACAGCACAGTAACGTTTTAAAAATGTATTTAAAACGTACATGTTGAACGTTTTGGACATATTAAAAACATCCAGATTAGATCCATGAATATTTTAAAAACGTTTAAAAAACATCCAGTGTTACCATTTTGAACTTTTTAAAAACGTCCATTTTAGGACGCAATGGACTAAAACTGAACCAAATTAATACATTAAACAAATTTTAGACCATAATCAAGACAAAATGATTCTTATATGAGTATTATTATTGATTAATATCTTATTCCATAATACACATCATAAAATTATAATAAAAAAAAGTTTTTCCCTGAATTCGGGAACTAATTTCATAGTGCTTCGAAGCGGTCACATACCGCTATCCACTATGCTTGACTTCTGAAATTATATGGAAACCACTACACTTTGATAATTCACGAACACTTATATAACCATGGATGTATAATTACGATACATCTGTTCAATATGGTCCTAATAGAAATTTGTGCAGTTCAACTGAACATCCAGTCAGTTACTCTCTAATATTTAATCTTAATGTTATTACGACTATTTTCAGATTAGGAAATCATACGCTGTACTTTCACAGTACCAGTTATCATGTACAGTAACAGTATGGTAGCGGGATTTTGTGAGGATATCGCATGCTTGGTTATCTGGGTAGATTTTTCGTCGTTGAAAATTTTCATCACAGCACAGATGTCCTAAGGACGTCCATGGGACGTTCAAAAGATGTCCATACATACTAACAAAAGTAAAATTCCTCGTGCGGTCTTAAAAAAATTTTCACTTGTCAAGTCAGCGAAAGCAACACGTCGTGAGCAGATTTAGAAAATTTTTTGTATGAGATGAATATTTTTAAAATGTCCAAATGTGAACATACTTTGTACGTTGAATAACGTACATTTTTAAAACATTCGTACTAAGTCCATGGATGTTTGGACCAAATTGAAACCAAGTCTGGATGTCCAATGGATGTCGTGTGCTGTCTGGGCCCACAAGTTTTTTTATTATGAGACAGGAAACTTTTATTTAATGAAAGTGTTTCTAATTTATTATTAACGCATGAAGAAGATATATGTTGACAGATATTAAATTTTTACTTAGAACTTTTTCTCTCGGATTATCACGTGTCAGTTATGAAGATTAATCGATCTATACTATATGTATAATAATATTTCTCTCAAAACAAACCTCGTTGCTGTAACCAGAATTAGTGACACTATACAAAATCGGTGCTGGCAGACGGGATTCATCATGAATAGAAGCTGCGTACAGGGATACCGCCGTTGTTCTCGCCAAAAGAAAACCGAAGGAAAAACCAAAGTAGATTTTCCGTATGCTACCACGTATTGGACTGTTTAAAAAATTCATGCAACTTTTAGGATCTACTGTATAAAAAATTCATTCAATTTTATGGGCTCTACTCCCTAAAAATTCTCGTGACGTAATTTTTGATATAAAATTTCATAAAACTGTCTTATATTCGGACAAAGCTAATATTAGCACAATAAAAATTAGTAATGTCGTAAATTAATTGTAAATATAAATCTATAAATATTATATATTGTATATACATATATACAGGGTGTCTCACCCAAGACCGGCCATCCAAATAACTCATAGTTTTGGAGATATAAAGAAATGCTTGAAATAAAGTTTGCTATCGAGAGGAACATCATGTGATGATGAACATTTTTCCCAACGTTTAGAAGATTTGAAGGTCACTTTAATACTTTTATGAACAGAATAATGAGATGAATCAGTTAGTGGAAAGAAAACACATAGTTGCTTATTTAAAAAATTATCCATTTTGCATACATATTTTGTTAAAGCAACTATGTGCTTTCTTTACTTTAACTAATTCATCTCATTATTCTGTTCATAAAAGTATTAAAGTACGATTATCAAAAAGTTAATAGTTTACGAGTTATTTAACATTTTATGTCAATATATGCCAGAATAAAGCATAAAATATCTCGTAAACTATTGGTTTTTCGATACCATTACTTTAATACTTTTATACGCCGAATAGTTAGAGGAATCATATTATGTAAAAAAATTCACATAATTCCATTAAAAAAAAAACAAAAGTAACCTTCAAATCTCCTAAGCGCCTCCACTTGGGAAAAAATGTTCATCATCACATGATGCCCCTCTCGATATCGAACAACTTTATTTCAAGCATTTCTTCCTATCTACAAAACTGTGGGTATTATTCAGATGGCCGGTCTTAGGTGAGACACCCTGTATATAAAAACAGATGAAATTTTTTATATTGGATCTAAGAAACTCGATGTACAATATATTTAAAGATAAAATTGTTATTATAAATTATATGTTAGATAAAAAATGTACTTGAAGGAAAACAGCAATTGCATACAGATGAAGTACAAGTCTATAGCAAAGGACATAAGCACGATGCCTGAGATGTAAGTATCCACTCTGCGCGTAAGAGTCGCCAATTGATTATAGTCACTCCTGGCTTCAGCCCACCACCACTCCGGCATCGCCTTAACGAGATAATAGCGACGAGTTGTTAGTAGAAGCAGATTTCCATGTTGTAATCAATGATTTTTTTCTCGATTAATATAACACATTGAGCTACTCTGCTTGAGTGTTTCTATGTACCATTTTACTCTTGTTGTTCACTGAACGTTACACAAGAAAAATGATATACAGGACTACTCGAGCGGTATTTTTCCGAACGTGTCTCTTCTCTCCAAAACTTTTAGAGTGAATTGTCACTCCGAAGAGTGAAATCTTTTTTCTCTTAAAGATTGAAAATTAAGCCACTCTCTTCAAGACTACTGATTCAACTTTTACTCTTTAAAGTGAGATTTCACTTCAAAGAATTTAGAGGGTTTACATTAACAGCTAAAATATAGTTTGAATAAATCCTCAAAAAAATTTAATAAGTATTATTCAGTGAGTATTTAATTTAATTGTTAACAACATATATGTAGATATATTTAATACTCAAAATAAATAATTAATCATTAATCAATTTAAAATACTTAGAGTTCTTATTAAACTTCTTTAAGGAAAAAAATACGTGCGTGTGAATATTAGGAAGATAAATAAAGTTATTCATAGGCAAAGACAAATATCTTATAACAGATTGCACTATACCTTTCCCCGTATCGAAAAGAGGCGGCTGTTTAGCCGTTTGAATTGATCCGCCAAAGCTATGCTGATAAGAATAAGAAACAGATCGACAAAATTCCACGAGAATGTGCTGAGGATATTTATAGTTTCAATCACGATCCCCTTCCAGAGACTGTAGGATAATTTTGTGAAAATCTGTAAAAAATTGCTAATCAATCAATGATATTATACATTAATTTAATAATAATTAAAAGCACATGCATCATCTTTCATCCAGCTTTTGTTTTCATTTAAAGAGAAAAAGAGAGAAACAATGTGTTTTTTAACGTTTAAAAATAAATTTGATTCTAAAGTGCGATAAAACTATGAATTAAGCATATCTAGTATAGGATATTACCTGAGGGAATTGTGATATGAAATAAATACCAACAACATCCGCGTCACCGAGATGCGTTGCGCATTCTAATGCACTGGTGTACCCAGCTGTTATAGAGGCAGAGTGTTCTCCTATATATAAAAATATATTAATATTATTAGGTTAATTCAAATATTAGTTTGCTTTTGATGATTAACAGGATAATGTTTACTTAACTTATTCAGGATAATAACTAAAAAAACTTTGACATTCACACACAAGTAGAAATAGTAAAAATAACTAAAATAAAATTAACGTAATTTATACAAGATAAATTAGATTTGTTAATATAATTTTATTTACATCAAAGAAGTCAACTCAATTAGAATTCCATAGAATTGAAAATAAACGAAATAAAATGCGTAAGTGCCTACGTAATCCTTATCTTGATTTACAATCAGCGCTTACCAAACGCGAGCATCATGACGACAATGGTTACGATTTTGAAACGAGTTGCGAGACTGGTCCTCGAAATCCGCCGATGTTTCGAGGTGAATTCACGTTCCAGTTTTTCCCAAGTTAACGCCAGGCAAGGCCAGTGCATTGCCAATCGTATAAACATTATTGCGGTTATCAGAGTCGTGACAAAGAAAACGAAAGTTGCTGGTAATTAAGATAAATATCATTTAGAAATAACGAAAATTGTTGTGTTCCTACATTCGATGTTATTTGTATCCATAACGAGGCTTACTTACTCATTTTCACAGAATCTACTCCCGTGATGACCAAACGATGAATATTGCCGACTGTCAGGACAGACGTTCCCACAATAATGCTCACCGCGTAAACGATTTTCGGATGGTACCATGTAAATCTGCAGAACATTCGTGAAGACTCGTGAGAATTTCGATTAGAGAGAATGTTAAAAAATCGAAGGAGTGAATAATAAACAATTCATGTTCATTTCAACCAATGTAGATTACTTTAATCTCAGTTTAACTTTTTGTCTTCTTCTAATTCTAAAAATTAGAATAAATTAAATAAAGAATAAATTAAACCGAGATATTAAAGCCTACATTGGTTGAAATGGACAGGTTTATTTCTAACAATGTAAGGTAGATTAATTTAATTTACTCTTTATCTTTATAAATAAACAATCAAGATTAAAACTAATCGATATTGATAGAAATGGATATCTGGCTTATTTTTATTAATGTAGATTAACTTTAATCTTGATTTAACTTACTCTCTCTATTTTTTACTAATTCTTAGAATTAGAAGAGGACAAAAAGTAAGTTAAACCAAAATTAAAGTTAATGTACATCGATCAGATATCCGCAAACCATTTCCGCCTACCGAAGATACGAGGCATCCGGCTTACTGACACCGCACACCGGAAACATGCCAAAGCATTGGGCCAGTAAAATGATCGGTTTTATGGCTGCGTGCAGACTATCAGTGGAAGGATTAAAAGAATCTGACGGGGGCACAACGGAAGCCAGCACTGAAAACCATCACAATGACGTAATAAATTAATTTGCAAATTTCGCGCAAATATTCAGGTCGAGGCCAAACTTACTTTCGGGCACCACCACATCGGTCTTCATGGAATCGAATCTATTGCTGCGTAAGTTCTTGGGCGATCTGAAAAGAACTCCTCTTACTTTGTGGATATATCACGATTCCCATTATACTGCTTGCCAAATCATATAATCGAATAATTTGCAACTTGATATAGCCACATGATAGGCCGAATGCGTCTTTAAAAACAGAGTGCATTTGACGAGTAAAAATAAAATAGGCATTTCTTTTGCTGTTAAGTCAGGGGTACTTTATTGATTACCATACTTTTAGTATTCACTAAAATACATTGACATTTAAATTTTATTATTCAAATTAATCAAATAAAGGGCATGTGCCACAACGCAAGATTTTAATAACGAGATAATATTTTATTCTGTAAGTATATAAATAATAATTGTAAACGTTGTATATACCTACAGAATAAAACATTATCTCGCTACTAAAATCTTGCATTGTGGCACATGCCCTTTATTTGATTAATTTAAATTATTAGCCACTTAAACTTCTTTATTATTCAATTTTTGGAAGCAAAGAAATCGAAACAATTCAGATTCGAGATTTTCTTCAATATTAAGACATTTCTTGGCAAATAAAAAATATAAGCCAATTATTATTTAATTAATTAATTTTATCCGTTTACAGAGAATATGAGTTTTGCTTCTTCTCCCTCGTTGTGCTATATATTCTTCGCTTAATACTCATTTGCACGATTTTTTTCTTCGACGCAGCAGATTTATCACTCGGAAACGCACCTTGCAAGACGCACGCCGCGGCTTACGGTATGCACAGAACACGATCGCATGACGGATAGAAGATAGAACTCGTTATTTCTGAACTTTATCAACGATGAGGTGGCAGGGTAAAGGGAGCTTTATAAACATCGCAGGTTCAATAAGTGTCCACTTCGGACAGCCAGTAAAAACTCGAGGCTGCTGAGGCCTCGTCCTCGACAACGAGGTACGAGAAACTCGCGACCATGTACGGAGAGGGAGAAATACGCACCTTTGAAAAACGTATCTGATGTAATCATCACGTACGATATTGGAGATGGAAAATAATTGAATTTATATAATTCGCCGTATGTCTATTCTCAAGAATTTTGAAGACTCAACTTTCCTCGATTCACTGTCTAGATTTATAAATCAGTCGCAAAAAGAAATAATTCTTATTTACTTTTTTTTTTATGGTTTCGAAAACAATAAAGAGAATTCAATCAGTAATTTTATTTTTTAATTGCTGTGTTTAGTTTTATAATTATATTTTTAAGCAATATATTTATGACCGTATATTTGAGAAACTCAATTAATAATAGAATGTAACGGCCTATTACGGTTGGAGCTGGATCTTCGTTGCTTTTAAATAATTCAATCTTGAATTACTAATATATACTATATATGTACTTGCATATATACCATATTGTAGTCTTTTTCAATATATTTAAGTCTTTTTCAATATATTATATTTTTAAGCTTAAGGAAAGTTAGCTACAAAAATTAAATCATTTTATTTATTTATTTATTTCAACATTTTAAATACATGTCATCGAACTTTTTCAGAATTTCACATTACTCTTAAATATATTATAAAATATTTATTAAAATATTTATGTAACGCAGAAAATCTATCTTCGAAAAATATTTAATTATTAAATAGAAAAATATGTAAGTAATATATAAATAATTATATGTTGTTCTGTTATGCGGAATAAAAGTGCAAAATATTCTGCATAACCTTTTACATATTTTTCATAGAATAATGGCAGTGAAAGTGTTCGTGTAACGGTGATACGATCGTTTAAATAATTATTCCGATGTCACACCTAACAATCGATCATCCTAGGGTTCGAAATAATAAAAGACAATCGACAAATCAAGGTGAGAAAACCTCGGCACGCAAAACTTGTGTAACAGCTCGAAACAATTTGCATCGCACGGCATTCAGTTTTATCCATTTGCGATTAGAAAATAACATGTCTAACATTATAATAATATTTGATATATGTATAATAAAATATTATATATTTCATATAATATAATATTATTATAAAAAAGAAATCTATACAACATAATGATGTGTTAAAATTTAAAAAATAGCAAACATCGACAAATACAGTAATTACATGATATTCATATGTAACGTGAAAAAAGATTGGTCACGATTAATTTCAATGTGAGTTTTGTGAATAGTGCGATCATTAGCCAAGAATGTTCGGATCATTAAATTGAAGTTTACACACAGTTGTCTTTGTTGAAGAAAGGGCGTTTATTTGCGAATCATAATTGATAAATCGATTTTTATTATGCAGAGTGCTCATAATAAAAATCGTTAGTCAGCTCTCTTTTTGTTCTTAGAAATTTCATTATTGCACTTGTCCTATTTAAATACATTAAATTAAACCAATCAAATTTAATTATATGATAAATAAAAACATCCAGATCAAATATGTTCGAGTGCCCATTCATGTGTTAAGCGATAAATTTTAGTTTCTACTTGTCTAAAATAATTATTGAGCTGATACATCAATATTAACGTACATTTGAAACGCTGTTTCTTATAACAAAAGAAATACATCGCCAAAAATTCAGTGTGTATAATTTACGTTACTTACTGAACATTAATCATATTAGGTTGCCAAGACTTTCCAGTGGTCCATTGAGGGTAAAACATATCGCTGACACTTTTTTTCTCACTCCTGCATGTAATCTCTATTACACGTGTTAAAATTTTCCAAATGGTAGAAAGCATCGGATGGTTTCAGAGCTTCTCTACATCCTAAAGTCAGATCAGCATACGTTATACAAGATTGTACAAACGAGTTGTTACGTATAATCTAATTGAGGATGTATTTGAAACAGCTTTCACAAATAAAAAATAATTGAAAAATTAGCAAGAGTAAACGAAGACGGAACCATAGACATAATAAGAATAGACTGTCACGCGCATTTCTATAAAATTGTCACATAAAAAAAAAATTTTCTTTGTCGTACCTAATCTTGGTTTGTTAAAATATATTTGCTGCCTTAACTATAAATTTAAAAACTATGGCGAAATGGTTTGCTATTACTGCTATAATATAAGTATCACAGTTAAGACATTAGCTATGATACCTATATTTTAGCTGTCCATATTCTACACCTACCATTTAGTCACCACACTTAGTTTTTAGTTACGACAGCTACACTTTCTTTTTTCCATCTACTATACATATATCGAAAGTCTATACTATATATGAAAAGAGAGAAATAACAAAAAGTATTTCTTTCTTTCTCTAAAATGTCGAAGAGAGATATCTTTAATTCTTTCTAACGCAACACAAACACTGAGGCCGATATTCAAAATTGGTTGTTATATTTAAAATCGTCTTAAGGAGTCTTAAGATACCATGAACCAATTACAGAACAGTATTAGTAGCTTAAGACATTATAAGATCTTGAAATAAGAACGAATTATGAATACTGACCTAAAGATCAGGGAATGCACAGCCCGTATGTCTATGGATGGAATCATGTATTGTAAGAAACGAAACTAAAAAATAAAATTTTATTAATATTTCCTACAAAGCGTAAAAAATAGTACTAAAGGGAATGAATAGGAATCCGTTTTATAAGATCCAATTCTCAATTTAGCGAGTAAAAAAAAAATAAAAATATATTTGAACCCAATCCTTTCGATGATTCGCCATTAGAATCGCGTAAAATTGAATTAACGCTCGAAAAAAAGAAAGAGGTATGGATAGTTATAATTTTTTTTCAAAAGAGTGGTAGATAATTTATGAGCGTGGCGTTAATTTACAAAATAACATTTTGTCGGTCTCTTTTAACTTATATGGTTTTTTTTAACGAATACGTAGTTGGAGAGTGCGCGATAGGATAGGACAATGAGGTGCGAGACGCAAAACAATATCGCCTACCACGTTCGGACGTACACTGACAGGCGTGGTGGGAACCCCTATAACTTATGCGCTTATTGTCTCTATCCTGCATGTAATCTTTGCTTGCATAGGCCAGAGAAATAACAGCCTCCAGCGCAGTTGTAGTGATTCCTGTACTTGTGTGAGAATGAAGGCGGCGATTTGACATACCTGTGACACGCGCCACCTTCATTGTCGCATGTAACAAAAAGGTATTCAACTTGTTTGCGATTTATACACAATGCAGCAATTCTCCTTCTTAAAATTGAACACGTGCGGCGTTTCACATACACACTTCCGGTACTTCGTATGAATTTTTTTCGACAAAAGATTTTCCAAGGAAAATTTGCAAATTTTAGAAAATAAATTTGGCAGACAGAAGTCGCTGCATTTATACCGGCTTGTTAAAAAAGTTTATCTTCCAAAAACTAGTTATTAATCATTTCCAAAGAGAATAAGAAAGTCAAAATAATGTTAGATTGATTAAATCATGACAAAAACCTGATATAAATTTAATCAATAATCAATCAATATGACGTCAAATTGACATTATTTTGACTTTCTTGTTCTCCCTGGATTGTATAAATGTTCGTCAAAATTATTTTTGGAGAGTAATTTTACAGAATTTTTTTTTTTACAACTCGATATTTTGATCGTATCTGAATGAGATAGAAATCATAGATGAAAATCAGGATATTAAATTATTGAATACCTACGTGAGAAGACAAGTCAATCGAATATCAAGTAGTCGTAATAAGCGCGTTAATCGTGCGCCAGCCTCGAGTGTTCGATAAAAACTAACATGAGTGATAATAGCCGCTTCGCGGAAAACGTCAACCCTTAGGATTAGACGTACATACACGTGGAAACGCGGGTTTTTATACTGTTTACTCAGTACCTCTGACGACCTGTTATATACATCAAATGAGAGTATGCATCCATCATGCCTCGCTATCAAGGATGCACTTGGGACTCGCGAAACTGATAAGCGCTTGATGTCAATGCAAATGTCAACCGTGCTCTTGAAATCTCCAAACAACTGATATGTAGCAAATCTTAATTACCAACGAAATTGTTGTTTCGCATTATCAGATGTAATCGTTTTAAAATTCA